GACACAGTTTGGATGTACTAAGCAAGAAGAAGAAAGTGTAAATAAGCCACACTCAGAGAATCCTTGATTGACAGGAAGAGAGGATTCTAGAGAGCAAGGAAACGGGAAAGGCTTCAGATCCATATCGCAGATCATCTTGGCAATGCTGCACTCAGTATTCAGTCTGAGCTCCTCCTCTTCCAAAGAAAGTAGTCCAGACGTTCATAATATACAGTAAATTGGTTGTTAAGTCAGTTACCGATCAGATAGAAAAGACAAAAGGCAAACATTTTCTTCCCACCTTTGAGAAAGTGTGATGACCCAGAGTGCCCAAGCTGCCCAAGCTCACTTTGCGTTTAGCCACTGCATGAACTGTTTAACCAAGTTGCTTCTGAGAGGTCTGATTTTAATAGTTTTTGCTTGTTCTTGGCAGTTATCCTCGTCATCCCAGGCGAACAGACTGTGTTCTGTGCGGGGCATATCTCATGAATAGCCATGGATTTTCAGAGAAGCTGTTTATGTCATTTTAACTATATATTGAAGACGCTCTGGTATAAAAAAGCTACATAAGTGAATGAAAAGGATCAATGCGCCAAGTCTAATAACTTCCTCTTACCAGACGTCCGTTACATATTTACATGCATACACATTTTGTGCCTGCTTGCTGTTGTGAAGAATTAATTTTCTTTAGAATTCCAAATTCAAAAGCAAACAATAAGTTTAGAGACTATAAGACTCCTCCTCCTCCCCTTAAAAGAAAAAAGGTTATAAACATCCTCTGAACACTTGACAAAATCTATATGCTCAGATGACTTGATAGGTTTCAACTGTTCTACTGCTTTTTAAGCATTGTATTCATAAAATACGGTCATTCTGCAACAAAGAAACTCTGTGAGGCTGAAAGGAATTCTTTCTAGAAGAAATTGCTGAAGCAATGGTAAAAACAATTAAACCCAGAGGGTTTGAAAAGACAGAAGACCTGAAAGTCATTTTTTGAAAATAGATGTCTTGGTCTGTAAAACAGTCCCTAAAAAACATCCTCCTAACTTACTCACTGCCCATTGATTCTTTTCAGGTAGTTTGTAATTTATAACACTGCAAAAGTTTGCCAAGAGGAGTTCCATACGTATGCTAACTCCATAACTAGAGGAGTTACAATAACATGTATTGCAATCAAAACATCTCCCCCTCTCCGCTCCACTGTAAATATAAGGCTTTGCAAGAAGACAGTTTCAGTAAAAGAGTTCAGAATATACATTTTCTAATAACCTTGCAGATCTTAATGTTTTAATTTGGTATATGGTTCCATGTTTTAAAATCAATCCCTGCTGTGCATTGCACGCTATATACAAATGATGGAAAACATCTGAAATAGTCTGTACTTCTCACAGAAATACAGATAGATACAAATGTAACAATGTAATAAAATACTTACTAATGATTTTGTCACTCTTTATAAATATTTAGAATAACAGCAATCTTAAACTGTCACTCCACAACTCTTCATTTAGCAGTTTCTTAGCTTAATACAATGCTTCATGCTATCTGCAAGATTACTGGAAGGTTTGCAACAGAGAAGACAAGATCTGGTAAACAAGTTTTATGAACGCTTAAAGCAACAAATCATCCAAAAGTACGCAGCCCCTGAAGAACACATAAGCCAGTAACACGATACGGTATGAGCAGACATATTCTGGGAGCAAAAAGGGTACGGAGATTCCATTTTATTATAATTACATTTCAGAATAGGTTCCCATTTATATATATACACTAAAAAACCCCCAATAGAATAAAACTAAAAGTATCATTGTGAGCAGAATTATGTACAAAATGAAAATGGAAATCCTGGTGTCATATGAACACTAACACAGCTTTCATCCACAATTATTAGTGATTCCAAATTTTTAAAGAGGAAAAAAGAATCTCCCTCAAGTTTGTGTTAATAGAATAGTATTTTATGTATACTCTTTACATAGTATATAATTAAATAAAATTAAAGATTATAGAATTTTAAATTTACAATTTAAAATAAATTGGAAAAAAAAAAAGATCTAACATATGAACTTTGCATTGAAAACAAAATCATTAAATGCTCATAATAATACTTTTTGAAGATGGCAGAAGGATGGATTGAGGTTTGATTTTGGTACTTTTTTCCAAGTTTTACTTCTGGTTGGGAATCGGAATGTTGAATTTGAAATCTAAATAAATTATTTATCAGGAGATTTAAATTAATATAACATAATTGAAGAAAACAATTTTGGGACCAAAGAAAACTTTATCTAAGCACAATGTTTCCATATGCATATGAGCTGCTATAATATTCTAGATTCCCTGGTTAGCTAGGCTGATTAGAATTGAAACACACATACAGCCTCTATTCTGTTCCTTCCCTTCCTACAAATGCGTAGAAGGGTTTAACTCTGATATAGTAAGTTCTACAAAGTATTTCCATTCAGAAATACCCTGGAAATAAATTGGCAGAAGAAAAACAATAAAAAACCCTACACAAAAAAAAAGAAGGACTTCTCTAAGAAAACCCTTGAAGAGCTTGCAAAAAACTGATTGAGTTGCTTTTTATTTATTGCAATAGCTTCAAAGTATTCAATATGCCAAACACATCCAGAACTATTTGCACATTCATTTATTAAAATTTATTACTTATAGTATTTTGATTTATTGAAAAAAGGAAACTCATTAGCCTGATAATTTGCAGCCTTTTTATATCAACAAAAAGGAAGATGAACTGCAGAAACATAATTTTGAATTCTTTCATCCACGGACAGACTTATATTTCCTGTGGCCAAGGATTCTTTTTTAACCTGATATGACTGCTGAGAACAACTTCCTTCTAACAGAACAAATTTGGTTCAATTGAGCAGGCATTGTAACTGCTCAGAAAAAGGACTGAGTTGCCAACAAAGAAAGAGACGTTACACTGGAATTATTGATAAAATGCATACCAATAATTCTCTTAAATCCTCAATAAAGCAGCGGAGCAATCAACAGGATAACAAACATCCTTGCACTTATCCACCTTCAGCAAAGGAATAGAATCCACAGCATTAGCAATTGAAAATAGGAGAGAAGCAAAGCTGAGCTCAGTTGGAGGAAGAAATTCTGGCTTTCATTTGGTTTTGATTTTCTTCACTGTCTGTTTTTCTGCACTTCATAAAAATAACATACTTCTTTCATATTACCAAATCAAATAAGAGTTGCTCGGCAGCACTCTTTGAACTGGGTGTAAAATACACTGTTCATAATACTTCAGTACAGATACTAAGGGAAAAAGTATCAGAAGACCTCAAAGAAAAAACATCTCTGCTTTATTTCTTACTAAATCTTTAATTTCTAGCAGTGACACTTTTTAGGTTAGCATAAGAGGTATTTAGGATATCCAAAAGCTTTTTATACAACACTAAGAATATTAACCAGTACTTTACTACCATCCCTAATACTTATACTCACTTCCTATTCCTGAATCTTTCCTGTAACAGAAGAGATTTGTTTCAAACAAAAAACTGACTGCAGATATCCTGATCAGATATTAAAGACCAGAAATAACTTAAAATCTTATTAAGAATTAGATGGTATTAACATTCTTATAAAGTATATAAATCATCTATTTCCAAATGTTTTTATTTTTTCTGGTTTTCAAATAAGCCCTATTGCACAACTATACTCAGCAAAAACAAGACTCACACATTTTCTGATGTAATTTAATTTAAGAATTATAACTAAAGAATTAAATGTAGATATTTGTAGTCACTAAGTCAAAGCAATGATGTCCTTCAATATTCACTTGCTTCATTTGGAAAGCCTGTAAGTTCTCAGAAGTTCTTTGAATACTGACTTAAAGAAGTCAAAAGTCTCCTTTTCAGAATCCGTAAGAGGTGAAACTGTTATCTTTATGATTTTATTGAAGGCAATTCTCTTTATTTTAATCCTCCCCTCCCAAATGCTCCATAAACACCTTTTATAAAATAAAACAATCTATAATAAAATTTCCCATTTCCCCACTACATCAGCATTTTTCTACAAAATCAAAACAGTGAAGATAGCTTGTCCTTAAAAAAATATTTTTCAGCATTTAGCCAAAATTCATTCTAAATGTATTAATGTATTTGTTTTGCTCTGGAAAATTTTCAGACACACAAAATCAATCCTTAGATAATTCTGTAAGAAGTAAGCAACAAATTTCCTGTTAAATTGGTCAAAACATTGCCTAGATTTTGATGCCAGAATTCTACCACAACAGATTGGTTAGGAAAACACAACAGTAAAAACAACAACAAAAAATCCTCTTCAAGGGTCAGTTAAGTAAAATGATTAAACACAGATTCTCCCACCAATATCTTCCTGTTGAATCCAGAGAAAGAGTTAGCTGCAGTTATTTAACTGTAAATATGAGTTGTATTGTTATTTATATTGTTACCAAGAAGCAAAAGTTACTTGGTCATTCTAAGTCTTCTAAGCCTAATGAAGCACATGCCTATAAACAAACTACAAAAATGACACTGCTATCATATACACACTTTTGGAAAATGAAAGCGTTCTTATACTTACTCTTTACAATGAATGCTGAAATTTAAGATACTGTTAATGAATATACTTCTTCATATGTATAGAAAACATTTACAATCTATTTATATATGATGATTTGGATGGAACCAATTTATATACTGAAAACTACAGAGACTATAGGACAGGTGACTATTTCCACAGGGACATAGTGGAAAAAATACCAGTTAATTGAATTCTGTTGACTAGTATTCTTACAATACTTAAATACTTTGAAAACGCATTAAAACTACCAAACTAAAAGAACAGCAGTATCAAATAGAAGTAATTTTTAGCCAAATGCCTAATGCTGCTTTTATGACATTCCCTATTTCATCATTATAGACTGGCTTAAAAACTTGTATTATTGCAGTAGCTTTAGTAAGTAGAACTGAAGTGGTAGACTGTTGCCCACACATCACATACTACTTTAACATCAGCATATATTTTAGGTTTCTCACCTTGTCAATCATTTTACGGGCCTCCATTTCTTCAGAATTGGGATTTTCCAACTCAATAGTGTAAGTACCTTTGTCACTCTGGTCATCCTCATTGTCCTTTTCAGTAGCAGCAGAAATATGTTGGCTTTTCAACTTTTTGTCCATTTCCTGGTTCTGATTAGGCCTATGGCCAAGGCTTCCTGAACTCCTTAACAATGCAGCTTGTAAGACAGGTAATGCAGCAGAGGGTTCTTCTGATTTTTGTTTTAGAAGTTTTGCATGAACACCATGTACTGCTCTGTGATGCAATGAGCCAGCTTGCACAGATGAAGGGACTGCTTTCTCTCCTGACGTAGGTTTCACTCTTTCAGTTCGTGCGTGAGGTGTTGGAGATTCTGGGCACAGAGCTCCAACATTCTGAGAAAAAGAGTAAGAACGTCTCTTTCGAGGATGGTCTTCATCAAAAAACTCAATCATAAAAGCAGTTTGACTCAAACCAGCTTGCTCTGGCTGCTTTTCTGTGGAATGGACTTTCTGGTGTGACTTTTTCAGCTCTGTATGATGATGCCTTAAGTGTTCTTCAAGTGCTGCCCGCTTACTGTAATGCCGGTGTGCACCAGCATTTTCTGAATCACTTTGCGTACCATCATCATGTTTATTCCCTACAAGCAAAGTAAAAGAATATACAGCACAATGAAACAAACAAAAAAAATCCAACAGCCTAAAACATATAGAAGAAATTGGCAAACTAAGAAAGAATGAATTTCGGATTGGTTTTCTGTTTAGACTCCAAAAGCTACCAGCACGTGGCTCTGCAAATTTTGTACAGCTTCTAGTAATGCAATCAACTTCCTATGAGTGAAACAATGAAACATTCCATAACCTGATCAGTAACAGCAGTGCATCTGAATTACCCTTTTCACCCATATTCTCATCTGTGAATACTTACCAGTATTTTGCCAGCTGTACTATAGTATGCTTCCTAATTACATTCATTTTGTTACACAGACAGTTGATTACAACTGACTACTGAAACACTGTAGGCAGGGTTAAGAGGAAAAAGAAAAACCTTAATAGGTCTTTCGGTAGCTGAAAATACCTATTGAGAGCCACAGTTCACATTGCTGGATTCCTCACACATTTACAACAGTTTATCATGAGAAATGTCTACTGAAAATTGGAATTAATTCTTTATTACTCTTTCCAAGACATATGATGAGTTTTTCCATCATTTACTCCCCTCAGCATCTGATATATGCACGTAAAATGGTTGTTATTAGTTCCACAAACTACCTTGAGATCTATGAATAAGGATCATGTAATTAATAAATTGTATATATGCCTATAAATATACTTTGTAATGATACCTGAAAATGCATAGATGGCTGGATATTCATACACAGTAAGTCACATTTAACACAGAGCAACTGTACGTACAGTGAAAGTGTCTGCATTTTTAAGTTTTAGCTCAGTTCCTGAGAAGGAATAGTTTTACCTTCTTTAAACTCTTTTCAGGTCTTACTGATGTATACACAGAATGTAGACTTTATTCTTTTTTATTCTCAAGAGGATAGCTTTTTAAGGTTTTCTCACCTGCATAGTGAGCATACGCAGCTACTCTTCAGTTAAACAGTAAACACACATTTCAAAATATTACTTATACTAATAGCACTGAATATACAACTGAAATCTGAACTTACATTCCTGTTTGCTACTTATTTGTACAGTGCTTAAGAAAACGATGTGATGGTTCATATACTTGTAAATAATTACAATAAATATCAACATCACAGTGAAAGTCATATAATTTCAGCAGTGCGACTTCAGTACAGGATATTGTAAGAAAAAGCTGAGCAGAAAAAAGAATTATTTTTTTTTTTAATAAATCAAACTTTCAAAGTGGCTAGGTATATTCTCTATGATTTTAAAAAATACAAAGACAAACATCACAGAAGATGAGAAAATTTAGATATTTATTATCGCCATATGCACCTCATAACTTACACCTCTCAGATGAAGATTTATCAAACTTTGAGCAGTTTCTGCCAGGAAAAGGTTAAGGCCTTGTAAACAAAGCCTTTCCTATTTATCAAAGTTACATGGCTAATGCTTTAAAGAATGTTCATGAATATCACACAGTATCATGAAGACCAAAGAATGCTTTGTGATACACTCTAGAAGAAATAGTATGTTACGTACTTGATGCTAGCACATGGATATAATTCTGTTTTCAGAATTTTAATTTTAGCTTAATATGGAAGAGTCAGCCTTAAAAAGCAGACTTTTGATCAGTAAGACAAAGCACATTGTATCCAGTCCCAGCTGGTTTAAGAGCTAGACATGACAATGTTGCAGAATCAAGAAAACAGGAATGGAAGTTAACCTGCTGAAATTAAAAACAGGAGAGCTAGAAAAAGTTCTTCAGAAGTTTTCATTCTGAAAATTTGTACATCAGTGGAAGCTTCATCTGAACATCAGAGCTACTTTCTTCTCTATTCTGCTCAGTAGCATCCGAAAGAAATTACACTTTTCACACTTAACATTCGATTTAATTTTATTTGAAGTATCACTGTCTGAAGTAAATTAACATGTATAATCTCGTGGAGCTCCATTCAACAGCAGCATTCTTATAAATACAATATTCTGCAGGTTTAGTATAAAAAATGCATCTCTGGGTCTATTTCAGATTCCTGACTCAAACCTGACTCCATCATATATGATAATTTAAGCAGAATAACTACAGGATGTGCTCTTTGCCATAAATTATTTTCTTAGACTACATGAATATTCATAGAACATATGCTAATGAAGGAGTTGCTAAAAGCATTATTTGAACTTCAGAGCTTTGATTCTAAAAAGCAATTCAGTTTTTTATAGTTACACATGGGAAAAAGTGAAATATATAAAATTTAACTAAGGTTTGGTTTATTTCCTTTTCCCTTTCAAGATCAATGTTTTAAATACCTGATGTTTTCAACTGTACTGGAATAGCTCCAATGAGTATACTTATTGTAAGATGATTTAGGATTTGGTTTTCTATCCTCTTTTTAAGACTTCATACTCAAATAAAATTTCCCCACACAGATCCTTGCACGTGTGTGGAGTATTTGCGGTTTCAAATGAACTCCACAAGGGCTCAGGGATCCACTCACTGGATGCTGGTGAGGGATCACTGCTTTCAGAAATAATCATAGCTGGAATTATTCACTTTACCTTTCAGTCTCTTCAAGTACACTGGAACATCGCTCTTAATACTTTTGGAATCCTCCTCTGTTGGTTCCCATATCATTCTAGGAGGATTGTTCTGTGCTAGCCAATCTGCTACTTTGCTCTCTGCGGCCATCATAACTGTTTGAAGCCCAGGCAGGTCCTGACCATTGGAGGAAGAAGGTTTTTTTGACTTGTGACGCTGTTCCGATGTGAATTTTGTCACGTGATCTTTGATTGTTACTTTTCCTGGAGTGTTGTCATCAAATTCAATGGTAAAGGAAGCATGCCCTGCACCTGCTGCATGGGAGCTTTGGGTGTCCTTTGTTGGAATTTCATGAATAGTGCTCTCTGCTACCTGTGAAGTTTGCTGGAATTCTTTTGTAGGGATTTCAAAATAACTCGGCTCCCTACAGAAAGGATAAAGTTCTTCACTTGCAGTTGCAGATTGCTCCTCAGCTTGCTTGGCATCTGTGCTGCATCCTATTAAGAAAAATAAGAAACATTTCACAGCACTTCAGGTTCTTCAAGAAGTTTCTGAACTCCTGTAAAGGCCACTTGAGTAATTTCTGGAATAAACAGGAAGACTGTGAAGAAGATTGAACAACCTAGTTCTGGAAAAATAATTCCAGAATTGCATATAAAAAGTATTACTGAAAAGACAGCATGAGCTTTGGCTGTAAAGAGTGTACAGTGGCAAAAATCTCACTTAGAATTTGTCAACAGAAATGTACATTCTGAAAAGTTCCCTTTCTGAAAAAACTTATGCCAGTAGACAAACAATATAGAATTCATCTATTTTACTGATGCAAAGGTCATTTTAAAAAGTTCCTGTGTTTAGACAGAAAATACATAGAAATAAACAAAAGTCACACTTCGCAGCTAGTAGATTTCAGGTAAACTACCATTACCCTCTGTTTCATCCAGCTAACAAGCTGGAATGGATCAAGCTCTAGTATAATCTAGAGCCAGGATCCTTACAGTATGCAACTCTCTCATTACTCTCATTACTCTCTCTCTACTCTCATTAAACAGGAGAGTAGTCCACTTGGGAGTCAGTTCATATGTACCTTTATTTTTCCCCTCTGGTTCTATTCAGAGCTTCAAGCCTACAATTCCATGCAATTCCCATAACCAATAACTAAGATACAAAATACAGTATTCCATGTTCCTTCAAAAGATAACTAGCTAATACAGAAATATTTCTACTTTTGGGCCACACAATAAACAATATTTCTCAGTAAATATGAAATAAATGGTTCATCACCATCTTTTGAAAAGTGTAAGATTGTAGCCAAACTGCATGAGACGTATGGTAGGCTTAGGATGAGGGGGATCTATAACAGCTTATCCACGTTGGCGGCCAATTGAATAAAAAAAATTTTCCCTGTGAAACCTGTCTGCACCAAGTTTAACATTTGAAATCAACTGATTATTTTACAGTGATATGCACAGTATTTTATTCTAATATTTTTTATTAAACAGATGCTATAATATCATTTGAATCTAAATTGTGATAGAGAGAGTTTAATCAAAAGAAGTGAGACTACAACTAAACTGCAAATTTTTCTAAACTAGAAAAATTCAGAGAAATTATATAATGGAAAATATATGAAGTACAAGTTAATATCAATTACTCAAAAATCCTGTTTTCAAGCCTGAAGTACTTGCATTTTTAGAAGAGTTAACCTAGATCCTGATCTGAACCACCTCTTGGAATTTTTCACCCAAATGCTAACTGCAAGTCCTTACAGCTTTCTAAATGTTACAAAGAGTGATCTATAAAACAGCCTTACCTTTGAAATCCTATTATAAAAAGCCATCTGCCAAGATGAAGGAAATTATGTATCAGACTAAATACAGATAGCTTTAAGAGAAAATCTTCAAGCTAATACTGAAGATAGTGGTCACCACAGCTCTACAATTTTTAAATAGAACAAGCATAGTATCTGTACAGCAAAAAAGGTAATTGTGTGGAATCAAAAGTGCATTTGGGGAAAATGAGGGGACGGATGGGTTGTAAACTGCAATCTTCAGAAACTGAGGAGGTTTCTGAACTGGCAAGAGTGAAAGGAAAGGGGCTGAAAGAACCAAAAGGAGCCCTTAATCTACAAAAGTCTAGAGCTACAAAAGACAACTGTGTCACAGCTTCTACAAGGCAAGCAACAACTAGCTGCTACAGAGGTGTAGTGAGACTATTAATGAAACAATGAGTCTAGGAGAGACTAAGAGGGAAACTACGTAATACTTGGGAAATCATAGGCTTAACCAAATGGAGATTCAGGGATATTCTTTCCCAGAATAATCTCAGAGATGATAATCAGAAAAGTAACATTCACTTTGACATCAGCAGATTCGATTACATTTTCTAGGATTTTTTGGTTTTTAAAGTTTTATTTCTTAACTCACACACACACACACAAATAGTCAGAATCTTAAAGTTTTACTTGGCAACCTGGACAAGAAATGTCATAGGTGTTCTGTGCTATTCAACACAATCTATCAGATATGGAAGAAATTGCCTGTGTATATGAATATATTTCCATCTGCAAAGATAGAATGAAGCCTCAGAAAATATTTTGCACTGTCTTGAGATTTTTTTAGAAATGTTTTTTTCTGCCTTCAAAATACAATTTTAAGAATAAAACTTGTAAAAGTATTAAACAAGATCTTTGTCTTCTTTGTCTTTTAATGTTGTCTTAACCTGTCTTATGGAATAATATCAAAATTACTCTCTCTAAATGTGTGTGCAATCTCCTACACGCACTGATTATACTGGAATTTCTAAAATAACAGCCTGCTTTACCTTAAAGGGACGCTTAATGTCTTAAATGTAAGGAACATGTAATCTGATATATTGTTATTCAATGCAGGAATTAAAAATTACTTCAAGCCAAATGGAAAAAAATCATTTCAGATTCTAAAAGCCTGTTTAAAAGTTGACTGCTATATTTTCTTAGATTTCTGGTAAAGGCATTAATGATGTAAAATTCTACAACCACTACTGAGATCAGCAGAGAATGCAGTTTTTGATTTTCCAGGAAGTGAGTGTGTACTACATGGCAATAATAATATTAATAACAGGTAAGTTGAACAATTGCAGCACAGATACAAAGTCACATCATAGGTGCATATGCAACTGTTCATTTTAATACAGACCAGCAGAGCTACAGATCATTAAGTCAGAGCGATATGCAAGTCTGAAAAAAGCAGAAAGTCTTTTTTCTTTTTAAAGTTTTCCAGGCTATTCTGCTCTGTTTGCAAATAATTTCTATTAGTGAGTTTCCATTAAGATACAAACACAGTAACACTGAAATAATCTTATTAACTTGAGACTGTAAAGACTAATTGTGTATAGTTGGCTTAGCAGAAACAAATCTCCCATTTCAATCTCCTCATTAAACCTTGCTCCATCTGTTATAATTCATGCTTTCTTTTCCATTCAGTGAATAATCATGTACCAAATCATTAAAGCATGAAGTAGATACTTCATAGGATTAGTTTGTTAAAATGATACCATGCTTTAGCAATTTGAGTTACTGAACAAAAAGTTTAAGAACTTACTTACGTACCCGAATCCACTTGCAACGTAGTTACTTTTAGGCAGTTTGCATTAAGAAGTGTGCTCCAAATTGGTGTTTTAAATACTTAATGCTATTTAGCCCATGAAAGATGAAATAATTGCATCTCTTTTGAACATTTTTTATTAAAGAAGAAAATACACACAAACTTGTTGAAAATTAACTTAATGTTTTCATGGAATGTAATTGTAGGCCAAAAGGGCCTGAAAAGCTTACATCTTTATTTTATAATTGTATGAAAACATTCAGGATATTTTTTTGCACGCTTCTACGCAGACATAGTTAGTGTTCTGAGACAGAGGAAAAGTATCCATATAGGCAAATGTCAACTCTTATCTGCTCTGTCTTCTCAGGCTCTCTGCTAACACTACTAAAAATATCAACAGTCAAAAACCAGACTAGTAAAACAAACAACTAATGCCTACTCAGAGATTAAGTGATCAAGATAAATAAATCACTTGTCTATACAAGGGATTTTAGTTCCACATCCTCCCAAATTAAACTGTGTTGCAAAAATGTCAGGTTTTGTTTTTTCCCCAGCAGTGTCTTTCTACAACATTTCACATAAGCTTTTGTTTAGTATGTTCTGATTGAAACTGAATTCCGTTCTTGCAGATTTATTAGTCTGTCAGTTTGAGGAAAGAGAACTATTCCTACACTCTACTTAGATTAGTTCTATTCATAGGAGATAAATTAATGATTAAACAACACCACAAACAGAAGGGATTTCTAACATATGTTGCACATTTTGAAAAAAATAAATGTTGTACTTGCTAAGAAGGCTCTGGGTCCAAATTTTTTTATATATATACATATTTATATATATATATGGAAAACAAACAAACAGAATCAGTTAAACACTGTAGAAAATATTAGTCCATTTTCTCTATTCATCATTCACCTAATGATGACTTCACAAAGACAAAGCATGTAAAAAATATCCCCCTTACTGAAGTTCTGTCTAGAACAAACTTATTTTTGTCTACTAATGAAAAAGACTGCACTTCCTTGATTAGTTTGAGAGGAAGTTGGAATCCTACTTTTCTTTGAACTCAGGAACTAAGACAGAAACACTGATCTCTTTCTGAAAAAATCTCTTGGTAAAATAAATATATGAGCATGTAGACCATTTGATGCAATAATGCTTCTGAAAAAGCAATTTAAAAATATGAAAAAATAAGAATTGGCATGTTATTAAGTAGAAGCTGGAACCTGGTGTCATAACTTGGTAATGGCATGACATCAAAACTACAGACATCAGGATATTACTTTGTAATGATCCTATACTTAATGAAGGCAAATCACGTGCATGTTTTTTTAAATTAAAACAATGTAGATAGATACACACGAGTATAAAAAGCTTGATGAATTTGTATTTTTGTTTTATTAATTTGCTACAAACATTGGCATCTAAGCAATAAAAACACAGATACTAGAGACTTTACCATCCCTGTTTTGGCATATACAGCAAGATAGAGAGTCACAGGTTTCATAGCCAATAATTAATGCTTCCTGTAATTTGGAAAGTAAGGAGAATCATGTGGGTAGCAAGTTTATCAATGGCATGACTCGAAGACAAGGACTTAATGCTTTTTCCTTGTAACTGATGATATACACGCTTTTCCTTTTTGTTAAAAAAATTGGAAGTGGAACAACATTTAATAGTCATTGTCTCTCATTATCATTTTCATTAGGGACAAAATTTGTTTTCCTGAGGAATGCTTAAAAGTGTTTGAAAAACATATTTCTAGACTAGATTTGAACTGTAGAATTAGAGATTACTAATGTAGGATATTAAACCTGTACTTAAAAAGCCTCCACAGGAGCATACAATAGCATAATCTACTCATGCTGAATACGGTAATTTTTCAACAAAAAAACCAAACAACCAAGAAAGTGTTATATAACTGTACTGCATTATGATGCAGTTCTTTTATATGCAAAGTTAAGTTGCATAAAAGCTGTTACTAATTTTTTTAACTTGTTTTCACTTGTTTTTTTTCTACTAGTCCAAATCTCAAGCGATTTACTTTAACGTCTGAGTTGTAACAACTTTAGACTAATGTGAAAAGGTCATTACAGGCTATGACAAAAAGTTAGCTCCAAAGACGTTAACTTCATCACACTGACGTTAGTTTAGTTTGATTTTACATGTTTTTAGAGTTTACCCCAACTCCCGCAAAACAGCATTCCCTGATAACCAAGGCAACTACTACTACAGGAAGAGAGAAATTCCCACCTCAGTTAAAGCACTTTAAAAAACCCACAAATTTAAAACTGTTGGGGCTTAAATGAATGTCTAGACAGCTAAACAAACATGTTTGTATTTTGTCCTAATTAAGTTTTAAGGGTGCTCTCTTTATTAGAATAGCAGTCACTTTATTTACATGCCTGATGATAGATTTAGAAGCCTAATAATAGACACTGAGATTTAAGTTTTGGCAATACATACTGTGTATAGACAAGCTAACAAAAAAAAAAATCTGTATTATGAGGAAATAAACATTACCAGTTTGACTTTAGACTACATAAATCTTTACTGCAAGAACTATGAAATGTAATTTCCACTAATGCAGCATTATTGAATTGCAGGAGAGAATGTTAGCACAGATCACCTTATATAACTAAAAGTTGAATACAAAAATAATATAGCACCATTTATTTTCAGAAATTATTTTGATAAAATATCCCCATGCAATCTCCAATTTTCAGCATATAAAATGACAGATATGGATTAACTTGATAAGTCATAGTGGTTCAGGTAACATTATTTTCTACATTTACTGATAAATTCTATTATCTACTAGAATATATAGTATATATATTCTGCTGCTACAATGTATGTGAAATCGGTCTTTGGAAATGCACAGTTTATCACAGATCAAATTTTTTAAACTAACTTAATTTTAATAGGCTTTAACCTATGCAAACTATCTATGACACTTCCAGACATTAGTATCGGTTTAGTTCCCTGGTTAAGAACATGTGTACTTTACTAAAGAACACAACTTCTAGGAAAATAAGACAACAAACTTACCTGAAGCCCCTGTCTCATGCATTTTTTCTTCATGCTTGCTATCTGGTTTACAACCACTTTTTTCATCGGCTTCATCATCACCCCACCAGGCTGGCTGTCCATACAAAGGTGTCCCACGAGGCATGGCAGAAAGATCTATAAAGTCAGCCCAAAGCAGAGGAAATTACTTTTCTGTTTTGTTGTGATATTTAGGTTGAAACAACATGAAGAGAGAATCATTTGCTTGGATCGTTTCTCCTGGAAGCTGAAGTGAACTGGTTGCGTGCATTTGCTGAAATACAAAACAAACTTGGAAGCTGGATAACTGATCCGAGTTCTAAATATAAAAGCTTACTAATGACCTGATCAAAACTTCTGGCACAAACGCTTATGCAAAGGCAGCTGACATCTCTTATTGTTACCCTGATATATCTGTAAACGTTACTTTCTGCTTTCAGTTTGAAATCATCAGCACAGCAGTGCATTCCTAAAAGCTGTTCACTGCTATTTCTGTGAGAAGATTCTCACTTTTACCCACATTGACCTTTCAATGAAATCTGAACTCACAGCATGAAAAACTGATCAAATTTTGCAACGTTACCAAGGTTCCAAATTGCTGACAGCTCCTACAGTGATGAAAGTTACCTTGGGTAAAACAATAATGAGCGCAACCTTTTTTTTTTTTTTTAAAAAAAGGCAATAGTTAAATTACAGTACAATTAAAACCGCTATTTTTTATATAGGATGTATACACATGATTAGACACATTTAAACATAAAGAATAATTAGAAAAAACACACTGCTATAATTAAGACTTCTACCTTGATGATAAATTGAGTGGATTAGTTTTGACCCGATCTATTGGAAGAATACTTCACCTTACTGAGATTTTGCTATTCTAGTATCATACAGATGTTTCAGTTGTTTTGAAGATACTTTAAACAATTTTTATATAAAATAACACGATCTGTTCAAATCCATCTTAGCTTGACTGTTACTTTGCCTATCATGAATTTCATCATTTTTATTCAGTGTTTTATTCACTGCCATTCTAATGATGATACATAATTTCATAGCCAGGGCAAAATGATTTGAAGTTTAATTTCATAGTTTCAATATGATTTGAAGATAGTAAGTATTTCTTTTTTTAAACAGCATTACACTTTAGTCAACAATGAATTGTTTTAAAAAACTTGATAGCTGATGCTTGTGTAATTAGTAATAGTGAACAGTTATGCATATATACAGCAACAATCAGAGAATCAATCCCTAAAAAAGCTGCTGAGAGTTGTACTCAAATATAAATCCCTATCATTAACTTTGACTGTTATTTTTGGAAGAGTAAAGAGAAAAATGGAAGATGAGGATAAAAAAAACCCGCTGTGGCACTTTATGAAAATTTAAAAGGACCTCAACGCTGAAAAGCCATATTGAATAGGAACCGTGAAATACTGAACAGGCTTTATGTATCCTTACTAGGATGCTAGTCAGCCAACAAAACAAACAGATTCGTTACACCACAGATTCCCATGTGTGGGGAAGAGTACTCTTTGAAGTGTCTTCCAGAAAAATGGATTAAACCTAAATAAAACTGTATAGCCTTGACCTAAGGAGTCAGATGTAGTCAGCTCCATATTAAGGAAGTAACAATACCTGTTTCCTTTCTCATTCTTGTTGTTATCTCCTGTAGTTACAGGAAACACAGCAAGTGTTAAGACAAACAATAAACTGTAACAAACCTCACACTGAAGTTAAGACACTCGCAGCAGAGTCACCATGGCACATTACATAAATATGAAATGATGCAGAAACAAGATCAACACTAGTTTCTACAGATTTTTAAACCTCAACAGAACACTTACATTCTACCCTGATGCATCTAACAATGAATGTTAATATCTATAAAACAAACAAACAAACTCCCACCTGATTAAAAGGAGGAAAAAAAGGCACACTTAACAATGATGGTGGTAAAAAGTACAAACTGTTCCTGAACTAATACTTTCAGTTAAACTGCAAAAAATATCACACTTTCCTGCCACTAGTGCTGAAAATTTGTGATTTTGGGAAAGAGAAATGCAAAAATCTGATAAATGTTGATTGAACATCCCTTTTAGAGTTTTCTTAACAAGTGGCTACTACACTAAAAAGGGCAGAAATTAAATTCTGAAAGTTATTAATTACACTTCAAGTATGTTTAAAATCTCACATATGTGGAGTTTTTACTATCTATATAATTCCACAAGCAGCCTAACAAAGCAAATAAATATCCTTTCCAAGTCTGTGTGCTTCTGCAGCAAAAATGAACCTTACCCATTGATTTCTCTTCAGATTTCAGTGCTTCCGGAGTTTTGTGCTGCACTTCTGCTGTGGAGTCTGTTACCTTGGACTCCGAGCTTTTGGAGCTGGTTTGCTTCGACCCTTCTGCCTCTGAAGATTTTTGGGATAACTGGAGCTGACTTGTGAATTTTTCATGCTACATAACATTAGAGAAAAAACAAAACAAACAAACCACACTCAAAGAGGGAAGAAGCCTCCTATGTTACCAACAACTACACAGTGACAGAACATCATCTAGGAACTGCACATTGTTTTACCTTAAGTGCTTCTTCAGGGACTCTCATCTCTCCCCTGACGACAGTAAAAAGGTTAGTATGTAGGAAATGCTAAGGAAAATAGTGGGAAGATTTCTCAATTCACAAATGGATTTTATAGAAAAGCAGCAGTTCTGTAGCCTATTCTGCCATTGGAGTGGTGACACTTGTACAAATATGTCACTATCAGGATTAATATGTACTATCATACTCATCTATGCAAATACACAATAGAATTATTTACTATTTTTAAATGGAACATTGAGTAGATAACTTTTATTACAACATTAAGGTATCCTTTTTTCATTCAGTTTTTTGCTGAGTAATTACTTGTAATCTTCTCTATTTGTATACAAATCTCATATGATACAAATATTTGTGTATTTGACACCAAGAAAAGTAATGTTTCTTAGCAACGCACTAGGTTTTAAATCATAACTTGAAGTTGAGGTTTCTTGTGATGAGAAACAGTGAAATGTACTTTATCCAACAGTTCTCACCAATATTCTAAACCCGGCAATTTTCTCTAAAATAGGCATTTTTGTAGTAGTGATAGAAATAAATATTTCAAAGTTGCTTCTCAAAGAGTGTGAGAAACTTTCATTTAACACAACCATAATTTTAGCAAGAAAACTGTGGCAGGGCATTGTGCATTTTTATGACAAGGATATCATATCCAAATCTCAATTTATCTTCTAACTTCAGAGTGATGTATGTCTGTTCTGGAATCCTCACGTCATTCACAAATGTCTACAGAAATAAATTAGGATAGAAAGAGATACTGTTAAATTCCAAAATAATAAAATGACAAATCACTTAACTAATTTTATAAGAAAAGTTTTTAGCACTGCAAATTATCTACTAGTGATTCACTAGGGAATTAAATTATAAGCTCAAACTGCCACCAGCTTCACAAAATACTTCAAAATAAAAGTTAAACACCAGTCACTAACCAGGCTGCTGACATCACACTGGCCTTGAAAAGTTTCTTACAAGTTTAATCTTGTAGTAGCAGATACTGAATGGCTGATTAATGTTCCTTCAGATTAGCACCTCCACTCATTATTTTTCTTGTAGCTTGCTTTTACAATCCTAGTTAGCTGTCAGAATTGATTTATCATCACATTTGTACAGAATTTAATACTGGATATGAGAGTTCTGAGGTAGCTTATAATTTCTAAACTTTGTCAAGGAATTTAAAGGAAAAATAGACCAAGTTAATGCATCCAAGTAGCTCAAACAGCAGCGATAAAGAATCCAGTATATTGTGACTCTTGAAAGAGTAGATATAACAACATTTGTAAGCAGAAATAAATTATTATACCAGCTAGCAGCAGCAAAGCAGAGCAAATTCTGTAGCCTTGACAATACCTTTTGAAAATTCAGTTACTGTAGAATAAGTAATCCTCTCTTTCATGATATGACTGTTGGAAACACAGTTGGAAAAATCACACAAGCTTTCAGTGATTTGGAGAAAGATTTATGTAGCTGAAAGTTTGCCCAATTTCACCAGCCATATCAGTCGGCTGTTAGAGGCAGTACAATTACCAATCACTCCAATTCCGAGGTCCAGATTAAAGAGTGAAAACTAGCAAGGAATTTGCAAAAACACGCTAGTATAATTTCAAGAGAACATCTGAGATACATACAATGACTAATTACAGGGGAAGCAAAGAAGAATAATAATACATGTTCAAGTCAAAATGGGTCGCAGAGACGTAATTTAGAAGAGTTGGAAAATAATTTAATCTCTGTAGGAAAAAAAAAATAATTGAACATAAATAGGGCTTGAAGTTAGATTAAGTCTTAAAGAAAATTCTAGAAAATTCTAGACTGATTTACAGCCTTAGGAAGGCAAGTTGTCAGCATCAAGCAAACCGCCCAGGTTACATCAGTACGACCAGAAGTTGTTATGTGGTGATTTCTGATAGCAGAAATCAAGGATGCTAACATGCTAAGGCAGGAGCGAGTGTCGGGAACCGAGAGCAGTGTTCTCACAACTTGCCCTTTTGCCGTTGGAGGGGATGCTTAAACCTTCAGGCAGTCTTCTCCCAGAACCTGCCACCTCCCATTTTGACCCTTCTGTTCATCACAAGTCATACCACTGCTCTTAGAACTTTCCAAATTAGGTTGAATCTCTTAACTGTGAAAGTGAATTGTTTCTTAAACTGAATTTGTTACCCTCAGAGAAAACTCCATATTGTGTCAGTATCTTCTAAATTCACTCAGTGACAAAGAAATATAAAAGGGTGAAGACATGTTTTGTCTAGCAGAACAGAATATTGAGCTTTTGATTACAAAAACTAGATATCAGGCTACAAAGAAAAAAGAAAACTGTAAATGTAACTCTGCATAATATTTAAGACACTTTCAAAGTCACAGATCCTTGAAGAATCTTTCTACAGTGTGAGCTGCTAATAAACTTCCACACGGCATCTTGCCTTAAACTATTCCTCAAGGCTCAATTCAAATCTGCATTACGAAGCTAAAATTTATATTCTTAAGTTCCTCTCCCCCACATTCTCCCCTAGCTTTCTTCAAATCTTCCCTCTCCTTTTACCTGAAAAGAATGTAGCATCTTCCTTGTAAGAAATATGAATCATTAGCTATATGTGAAAAGTCTCTAGTTCCTTAGTGCTACTTCCTTCACCTTCTTTTAAAATCCAAAACCAAGCCTTAATTTAGGGCAAATTCAAGACACATAAAATATTTATGGATTAGCTTGTATGAGACTGCTGCATCATTTTATGAATTATTTATCAGGTGCATCTGTTCCCATATCTTCAAAAAATTTACAGCTTCTTTCCCGTTTTCACTTTACCTAATAACTACATGTTAATACTACAGATAGATTAAATACTCAGAGTACCTTTCTGAATCACATTTACTAGTTGTTTGTGCTAGTTTTGAGGACTCGGAATATCACAACCCCAAAGGATCATCCGACTTCAAACTCAAGAATTCTACAACAACAGGTACATGTTTCTAAGGAATGCAGCAGCTGAAACTTGCCAATTTTTAAGCATTTTGAAGTTACAGACACACACACACAAACAAAATTAGACTTGAATAATTTTGTAAGCCAAAAATCTGAATCTTTGAACACTTGTGTTGCTCGTCTAAATGTAGTATTAGATGAAGTCTAGAAAGACAGAAACAATGTCCTTTCCCAAAACAGTAAAGGGGTCTTCTGTTTTATTTTCTTTCTCTAAATGAAAATAATGTTTACTTTATTATTTAAAAAATTGCTTACCTCCTTCATAGAAAATGTATTCCATAAGAAATAAAAATTAAAGGTACAACTATTTACTAGCTTGTAAGCATGAAACTTTGAGTGGTGTTTAATGCATATTTATTCCTCTTTAACATTGTGCAAGTCTAGAGCAAAAAACCCTGTGAAGAATATGCTCAAGGCTTGAATTTTAGTGAATCACCAAACTTTAGGCCGCCTTATGGACATTTATGTATTATGTATGTACGCATTTTTCCACTCAGGTCAGTGTTCTGAAATTCATGTGCATGCAGTATACTTAACCCAGAGAACTATGAAGGCAGCGTGTGCAGCCTACAGACCTCCTCATGACTGAAGTGATGGCATACAACAACCAAGGCTCAGTTGCTTTGCCACTGGAGTTTTAAAATCGCACTACAGGCTTTGGGATGCAAGACAAAGCTTGAAAAACTAGTTACTATGTAAATAAGGAATCCTGTTTCCCCTTTAAATTACTCTACACACATTTTTATATATTCACATGACTTCAAAAACTTTATTCTTCAAACAGTGAGAGTCTTCTCTCTTTAAGCCTTCACAAAATTTGCTGAGCATTTTGCAATCCAGTCCTAAAACATCTGTGCGAAAGGACTTCACTATCCTGTAAATATCCCTGAGAAGAATGTTATTCAACAGAACCATGGATATTTGATAATCTTTCTGTTATCTTTTTGAGGTCACAAGTCAAAGGAGAAAATACAGTTGATACCGTTGGAATAACAGATCATAT